GGGGGGGGGGGGCTGCCGGGGGGGGGGCGGGGGGCCGGGCGGGCATGCCTGTCGCGGGGCCTCTGCGCGGCCGCCCCCACGCCTGACGCAGCCCCTTCTCCTCCCCCCGCGCAGGGCCCATCCTGAGGAGAGTGGAGCCACCGCAGCCAAGCGGCTCAAGCAGGAGGTGGGTATGCACCCAAGGGTGCTGGGGGGGCACACACCCACATGCACGGGGGTGTAGGTGCAGGGGGGGGTGCACATGTGCGTGCAGGTGTGCACACCTGTGAACGTGGGCAGGACGGTGCAGCATGCCCAGGGCTGCCCATGCTGGCTTGGGCAGGCAGCAAGGGGCTCTGGGGAGGTGGCTGTGGGACTGGCACTGTGTGTGCAGCTGTGGGCATCCTGGGGCAGGCGGCCCGGAGCCCCCCAGCAGGATGGGGCCTGTCCACAGGGCCCTGTGCTCACCCGTGCACTCCTGGCAGGCAGGAGAGCAGAGCCGCCTCGAGCTGCTGCCGCTGGGGCCGGAGCCCCCCGGGGCTGCATACCGAGCCAGCCTGGAGGAAGATGCAGCCAGCCTCTCCGGGGAGAGCCTCGACGGCCACTTGCAGGGTGAGTGGGGGCCCCTTCCTCTCCCAGGGGTGCCTGTAGGCAGGTGGTGGCCAGCCCCCCACCCCTCACTCCCTCGGCACTGACTCTTGCCCTTCCCTCCACAGCAGCGGGGGCCTGTCCCCGGCTGACGCCGCCACCCGGCGTGGCCCCCGATGTGCCCCTTGGCCTCCCCCCCCATGGGCTCTGGAGTCGCCACATCCTCCAGCAGACACTGATGGATGAGGGGCTGCGCCTAGCCCGGCTGGTCTCCCATGAGCGCATGGGGCGGCTCAGCCCCTGCCTGCCAGGGAAGCCCCCGGGACCAGGTGAGCATCCGCAGGGCTGGGGAGGGGGGGGGTTTGCCTGGGGGGTCCAGATGGCACAGCTGCCTTCTCCCTACAGAAGCAGTGCCCTGACACCATCTCCCACCTCTCCCCACAGAGTTCGAGGATGGGCTGGCAGAACGGGGTCCTCCAGCCCCCCCGGAGCCCCCCCGCGGCACCATCAAGGTGGAGCAGGAGACCAGCCGGCAGTGAGGCCCCTGCAGCCCCCCACCACCATTAACAAAGCAATAACGTGCTGGGGGACGGGTGCCGGCGATGCGGTGGCAGTGCTCTGGGTGCGGAGAGCCGGTAAGGGTTTGGCCACAGCCCCCCCAGGGCCCCGTCCCCTCCCACACCGATGCTCTGGTTACCTCAGCCGCGGCGGGATGCGCCTCCCCGCAGCAGCAATACCCTCGTCCCCACCAGGCTCTGGGTCCCCGCTGCCCCCCCGGGGCTGGGAAGCCCTCGCTGGACTCAAGCCCGCTGTACAACAGACCCTCCTGCCCGCACCAGGCTGCCTGGACCCCCTGTCGGCTCACCCCTCATGCTGACCGTCCCCCCCCGGGCCACTTCAGGCAGGCGAGCTGCATCCCCCAGCCCCATCACCGTGCAAGGACAGGCGCTTCACCCCTGGCACACGAGCTGCGTGCAGGCCCGAGGTGCAGCACCGCGTGCTCCTGCGTCAGCGCCGCTACCCACGCCGGGCACACGGTGCCGGCACGCACAGCCCCGCACAGACCCCCGCAGCGCCCACGCTCCACCCGCCAGCCCCCCTCCCCGCAGCACGCACGTGCAAGCACATCATGCACATGCATTGTGACCCTGCTCCCCCCCCACCCCCCGCACCCTGCCGCTCTGAGCTTGCCAGCCACCTCAGGGTGCCGACGTTGTTGCCTTG